AAATTATCACTGTACATTGTGAAAGGTAGTAGTCACAAAGCTCTGGTGGGCCGATCATGGCTAGAGAAAATAAAGTTAAATTGGCAAGAACTGCACTTGGTAGCGAAAGAGTCTACCAGTCTGCAAAACATCCTGAGGAAGCATGCAGAGGTGTTCGGAGAATGAACTGGGAAACATGAAAGACCACTGTAAATCTGCTCATTAAACCCGACAGTAAACCTAAGTGCCTAAAAGCTCGCCCTGTTCCATATGTGATTAAACCTAAGGTGCAAACTAGACCACCTGGAGTATTGAAGAAAGTGAGTGTTAGCAAGTGGCCCATGCCAATTGTTCCTGTATTTAAAAAAAAAAAGACAGACAGAATTTGTGGCGATTTCAATGTTATAGTCGACGCCATTTCAACTGTGGAACAGTACCCTTTTGCTGTTATTTGAGTCTTTTTGCTGGATTAGGACAGAAATTCAACAAAATAGATTTACATCAAACTTACCTCCAAATACAGGCTGATCCTGTTGCCCAAGAGCTGTTGAACATCATGACACACAAGGGCCTACAGTATTGTTTCAGCATGCAATGGACAAGATTCTGAGTGGCTTGAATGGAGTACAGTGTTATCTCAATGGCCTGTTAATCACAGGAAATGATGATGAGGATCATCTCAGGAATCTTAATGCAACAATGCAGTGGCTAAAAGAGTATGGCCTTCGGATAAAAAAAGACAAATGTGAATTTTTCCAACCCACCATTGGACATGTAATTGATAGCGCTGGTCTCCACAAAGCACCATCAAAGGTAAAAGCTATTGTGGATGCACCATTTCCAAAGAACGTAAGCCAGCTGAGATCATTCCTAGGACTAGTAACATACAAAGTTCAAAGTTCATGCCAAACCTGGCCAGCAGGCAAAAACTGACCCAGTTTTGTCATAAGTTATGGCCTGGATCTCTCATGGCAAGAGATGACATACAAAGTCAAACCTTATTTGGTTTGAAGAAATGAGCTGACAGTACAGTCTGGCTGCTTACTATGGGGTAGGGCTGGGCGATATATTTTTTTTTTCATATCAGTCGATATCAATAATTATCACAATAAATGTCAAATCTTTATTTCTTTCAATAAATAAATAAATATCTTAGTAGAAAAAAAATATTTCTTAGTTTCTGCATGTTCTGAATGTGATATTGTTTCAAATCAAGAAACAGGTTTGTGTTGCCTGATAATATTAATAATAATATAATTTTTTTGTCTCTTAGAATTGCACATTTGATAATAGTAGTAGCTTGAGTTTTTCAAATTTGTGTTCATTATCAAAATCAGTAACATCTGTAAAAAATTGTAGCAACCCCATTTTTACCTCAGTAAAAATTTCAACCACATTTTTATTAATCATTGGTCTTCCATAGTAGCATACATTTAGATCATGATAAACATAGTTAAAACCACACATATAGCACACCTCAATACCATAGTAAAAATATAACTATATGATTTTTAGGCATTTGTATGAAAAACATACAATCAGGCTAAATGCACACATGCTATAACTTAATCACAAAAATACTGCAATTATATTCCATTACTCCTTTAATACATTTAATACATGTCTACATTAATAATATAATAAAATTCGATACAAATACCCACATTTCTGACACAATACCATAGTTCAGTTAGTGTTACTGTAAGTGCATGGTAAATGATGGCGATTTATAGATTGAAAAGCCTTTTGACTGTTGCACAGAGTGTTTTTCCTGTTTGTCAGTGCTGTTTCATCTGCCTTTAAACTAGTTTAAATCAGCGAGTCATTTGTGTTGTTTGCTAAACTCAAGCGCTTCACGCTGGATCTCACAGCGCTGTTTAGTGCTCGTGTGACCAAGACTCATCAGCGAGTAAAAACGCATCTGCTGGTTAACTGCTTTTGGCTCATGAACATTATATCAAACATTTATCGAACTCTTCATATCGTTTTATCGAGGAAAATTATATCGCAATAATTATCGTTATCGATTTATCGCCCAGCCCTACTATGGGGGTATGCATTTTTTGTTATACCCCCACCTCTAAGGAACCTTTTGCTGAAGAAACTTCATGCAGGCCATGCGGGAGTAGTGAGGATGAAAGAGAAGGCACGTAGCTACTTCTGGTGGCCTGGCATAGATGCAGGGATTGAAGAAGAAGCAAAGGGTTGTTCAGATTGCAAAAATGTAAGACACATGCCACAGACAACCCCCTTGCATTCATGGGACTTTCCAGAGGAGCCATGGCAAACATGGCAATACATATCGACTTTGCAGTGACCACTGGAGAGCCACATGTTTCTAGTGATTGTCGATGTTCACACCAAATGGTCGTTATGAATAGCACATCCTCTGAGAAAACCATCAAAGAGCTTAGATCTGTGTCCAGTCGTTTTGGGCTACCCCATAAGCTTGTAAGTGATAATGGCTCTCAATTGGTGTCTGTAGAGTTTCAATCCTTCCTACGTGTGAATGGGATTGAACACATCAGGTCTGTGCTTTATCATCCAATGCAGGTGGAGAGGTGATGTATGGCAAAGTTTAGAAGTTTCAACAGAGGTGACAGCATACTTGCTGGTAATTATGGAAAGGGAGCAAAATGAAAAAGGGAGCAACAATTGTAATAATCATAATCATTCAATAGTACTAGAGCTGTAAATTTGAATACATTTTTCCTTAAAGGTGCATTCAGGAGAAAAGGTTTACACATTAGGGAAAAAAATTGTGTTTTTGTGAATAGTCATCTAAATGGTATACAATTTATCAGATGAACACTGTACTCATAATAGTCACAATACAACACACACAAGGTGGGAAGATTTGTAGTGACGCCCGAGTTGCCGCCACCATTGTGCTATTAACGTAAAGAACAGAGATGCTAACGCTAGCTCAACAACTACTTTAATCTGCCATAGTTAGCATCTGTAACACATAGCATATGTGTATATGTACTACTATGGGTATTTATAAAATTCACCACTTTATTTGTCTGTATGTTGCATGTAAAATGTATTATTATGAGTGGCCTTTTTTATACTTATGTAAGAACGAGTTTTGTTTCTATAGAACTTTACAGCATAAATGGAGCTTATAGTTCATTGTTATGCATTTATAACTTCTGCCATTCATGTAGGGCTAGTATATAGGATGATGTCAGATTATATCATCCGTTTGGAAAATTACAATTCTGACTGTTTCATATCCTCAGTCATCACTGACGTCTTTGGGGTTGGTGAAATATCTGTCTGAGCAGCTAAACTTGTTGGGTTTTTTTTCTGGGCATGTGAGCAGTTACGTGATACCAAAAACAGGAACTCTCATCCATCATCCAAAATCTCATTCAAATCCATCATCATGTTTGCAGCCAGAATGATCTTACAACAATGAACAATGAAATTCTGTTCACAGTTGTTTCCTTTTAAGTATGTGATACACGCCGGTGGTCATGTAGGCCAGTGGTTTACGCTGATTTTGTTGCAAAACAAAATCAAAGGGGGAAAAAAGTCTATGTCTAAAATCTATGAGCATGTCTTTAATTTTGGTAAATGATGTCATAGGCCCTTGTGATTTTGCGTATAGTCAATGCGTTAAAAAAGTCTGATAATTGTTTATCCAGTTTACGACAAAACAAGATTCAGGTTGTAAAATGTTGTGGTACAACTTCTCAAAAATGCAATGGATAATGCAATTCATAGTATTTGTATTTTTTTTTACTTTGAAAACACACACATCCTCATGTTGGGTTTCCATGTTTTCTGGGGACATTCCATAGACGTAATGGTTTTTATACTGTACAAACTGTATTTTCTGTCCCCTTACCCTAACCCTAACCAGTTTAAAAACCAGCGGTCCATCGAGTTCCCTCAAGCTGTTTTTAGAGTACTGGTGCGTGTCCAAAATAAAAAATACAGTCACAGATCTGTCAAGTACAGTACAGTAAATCCTGTACATAAGTATACATAGATTATGTTTAAGTTCTGAGCCTTTCACTGTTACCAAACTAAACAAATAGCAGTGTGTGGTTTGTCTGAACAATGCAGTGAGACAGTTGTGTTGTGTGATTTACAAGCTTGTTTGGATTACTACGCACTGATTGTAGTAGGGATTTTGCAAGGCATTGTGCAAGGTTTGGTAGAGACCCGGAAGTTGCATAAATGTTTACTTGTCACATCGTCGTCATGGGAATTCACTTGACCAAGCCCTGGTTTACTCACATCCATCCAGTATTTAAGGCACAGTACCACAGATGCCAGAGTAAGTACAGACTGTGACATTACAGTAACTGGTCAAGAACATCTGCGCAAGGTAAACCATTCATCTCTATGTTATATTATGTTATGTTATGTTTATGACTTTTAAATTGATCTTTATTAGTGGTAACTTAATAATCAGTGAATACAATCAAGCAAAACTTATAAATAAAATTTTAATCTGTGGTAAACACTATTTGAATTAACTAGAGAATAATAGTTTCACATTAGGTTCTTTTGATGCATTTATTTTGCAGGATGAAGACATTACATGCAATGCTGCTGATGCTGTTTGTTGCATCAGTCTTTTCAAAACCAGTAAGTATTTATTTATTTTTTAGGATTTTTTAATACTGTTACTGTTAATAACATACAGCATGCAGTCCTATTATTATTAATGAAATTATCTGTTTATAATTATAATTATCAACTGTTTAAATCCTCAGTTTCATTTGCGCAGAAGATTTGATTCATCAGACTCCGTGCGATCTAGATTCAGTTCAGAGGAAAATGATTCAAGCAGAGAAGACAGGGAGGATTCACAGTCGGATGAGAAATCTGAATCAAACGGGTCTAAATCAAGTGATTCTGACTCTTCGGAGGAAGATATCAGAGTTGTGTCAAGCACATTCTCTGCAGCTAGCACAACAAGTCCATCGACCGCTGGCAAGACAACAGCAACCCCATCAACTACCACGACACAAGACATCACAAACTGTGTTACCGGAACAAGGGGTGATGGTAATGTTATTATAATATCTTGCGGTACTTCTGCTTAATCATCAGTTGATTGTTTAAAGGTGTACAATTCATTACAATTTACATTATAAAGTAATGTTTATGTGCTGATAATGAAGGTCTTGACACTGAATGATGTAACTTTTAAAATGATTTACTTTTAAGCTGCATGTCACTACTATGGTTTTAAGTGCTTATTTAGAATTTAACAAATCTTTCAAATGCAATTGTCATAACAGTTTTATGATTTAACACCCTTTAACACACTGTTTTCCAATGAGATTTATTATTGATAGTACTTTGTCTGAAGCAATAAAATATGATTTATCAGCATATTAAAATGAGAGTTCAGTACATTTTTTGCAACTTTTTCAGCAACCAAATTAATTATTATTATTATATTATTATAACATTAGTGTAAATGGCATGGAACCTACTATATGCTATTTTTCTAATTCAGTAACGTAACTTACATTTATTATAATTATTATAATAATAATTATTATTATTACTATTATGAGATCAAAATAAATAAGATTAACAGCACCATTCTATAAAATTTCAAAAGAACTTCAATTAATCTAAAAAAATGTACATAATTTGTGGCATAGTTTTCACATGGTTACACTGAGTCAAGAGGTGTGACAGCTAAATGATATTGAAAAGGCCGTTTGGGATTTTAAGATCATTGCTTGTTACAACCTAACCTAATCATCTATAACATGGTATAACCTTGGAATACAAAATAAAAATCCATCTTTCATGACCTCATTATATTGGTCAGATATTATCACTGATAATGATATTTGTAGCGAATCAGCTCATTCATGGGGAAATATGAATAATTAATCATAACTAGTTATAATTAATTATAAATATTTAGATCCGCTGTAGATATTTACTTGACCTCTCAGGGTCAACTGTCTGTCAATTCTAAGAACGTTAATTTCCTGGTTAAGGGAAATAACTTTCTTACTGTACAACTCTACACAGAGCTTGTAGCATAAATCTGCATGATTAAGTGACTCCAGTTATGAGCAAACAATGAACAACATCAAGTGTGATACAAGTAAGACTTTATTAACTACATAAACACTTAAAAAAAAAACTAGTCTAACATACACCTACACATACACACACACACACACACACACACAATTGGTATAGGAGAGGGTTGAAGCTTAAGCCGTAAAGAGGAGAGAAAATAAGGAATGAAGTTATGGAACCATTTGCATATTCAGCAGATCTACACCTGAGGGAAACGTCAGATTCTTAGTTCAAACACACCTTTGTAAAAAGGTGCAAATGATACCTAATGTATCAATTAATAAGACTAAGTCTGATACTTGCACGTCTCGTCTGTCTGAAAGAAAGGCTTGATGCAATCTGAAGGCTCGCGTGGATCTTTGCTGAAGTTGGTTGATGAAAAAGAACCAGTTTGAGTCAGAGAATCCCGGTGAATGGAAAGTCAGGCCGAAGCCTGGCACGAACTTAGGGTGTCCTGGAGCGTTGTAGCTCACATATTCTCAATACCTAACAGAACCACCGACTCTGGGCGGGTCACATGGTGTGAGGCCTTTAAGGTCGGAGAAGATCCACGCCTCTCAAGAGGGTCTTACTTTTTAGTACTTTCACATCCTCTTGCTTGAAGGCATCAATCCCCGTGTTGTAATTGGCTAGAAAAGATCAACAAGTGAAATTTCTAAAAAAATAAAAAAAATTAAAAAAAGGAGCTGTTTCTTTAAGACAAGGCTGAGACTGTGGGAGCAGTTTCAAGAAACTCTACCAAACCCCAATTTAAATTTAATATGCCTATAGCATATTAAATTTCAGCAGTAGTTGACATCAAGTCAACTTAAGTCTTGTGTATTGCATTCCAGGTGTTGCACATTTTGTCTTTACGACACCTTGTACTAGTTTTCTGTATTATGCCACATGCGCGATAAGCTCTGAATGTAATCTGTATACAAGTGAATGAGCAGAAAATGCTTGTGTCAGTGTTTAAAACAGAACACAGTCATCTCATGAAGATATAAAAAAAAATGGATAAACACTCTTATCTTCCGCGACAGTCCTAGAAGTAGCGTTATTCAGCTGAGAGTGGCTGCACATGATTGCATGCGTTCATCATAAACTAACAGGCAAAACATTTTGTGCGGAGCTCATCAAGCTGGGAGAATAGCGCAAACAGAGACAATAAATGGTGGCTGCACATCACGAAGATGACACAAAACAAAATGTGTCTGTGGACTGTGCAGTGAGACCATTCAAAAACAACTTTTATGTGAAAGTACCTCACATTAGAGAGCAATGGAAATCAGAAAACAGGATGGCAAAACAGCATGTTACCGCTGTGGAAAGGCCATGCCCAATTGTTCCTGTATTAAAAAATGCAGCAATTTCAAGGCTACAGTCCAACCCCGTTTTAACTGTGGAACAGTACCTCTTGCTGATATTTAAATCTTTTTGGTGGATTAGCTGGAGGCCAGAAATTCAGCAAAATAGATTTACGCAAATTTACCACCAAATGCAGGCTAATCCTGTTGCCCAAGAGCTGTCGAATATCATGACACACAAAGGCCTGCATAGATATCAGTGGCTACCTTTCGGAATAACTAGGGCTCCAGCATTGTTCCTGCATGCAGTGCATGGAGAGCCA